ACATTTTTTGGAGGCAGGAAAAAGTTGGCCAACTTTTTTTTTTTTTTTTTTTCCCTCAAACAAACCAGAGTGAAGACAAGACATTTATTTTAACAAGACTAAGATTTAATTTTTAAAATTTGACATTTAATACAAATATGTCAGGATAACACAAATACACCTGAAATATGCCAGTGTCTGAGCTTTATTTAACATGCAAAAAAATCAATTAGAACACATAAAAAACCCAACTATAAGCTGTAATTTTACATTTATACATCAGAAGTGTCCATTTTAAGAAGCTGAAATAATTAGTCAATAACACCTAAATAACTGATTTAGTCTGCTAGAACATCTGTGTACTCAAAGCAATAACTCTATATTTGCCCACAGTCTGTAATGACAACTCTTCCATTTACTAGCCCTTTAGGAGAACCAAAGGATTCGATCTTTTTCACGACATCCATGCCGTCTTTCACAAACCCAAATACCACATGCTTGAAGTCCAAGTGTTCTGCTTTTTTAAGTGTTATGAAGAACTGAGAATTATTCGTATCCCTGCCCTTATTTGCCATTGACAACAACCCAGGACCAGTGTGTTTCACTTCAAAATTCTCATCTTCAAATGCTGTTCCATAAATTGACCGTCCACCTGTTCCATCATGGTTAGTTATATCACCTCCCTTTTAAAAAAAAAAAAAGGGCACAGCATTAACTTGCAAGTCCCAAAACATAAATGAACAGCACAATCACATTCCCTTTCCACAGTAAAGACTGCTTTGGAAAAACTCATTCTTAGTTTTCACAAGCACTGTATTTACTGAGATATAAGGCTTCAGCAGCTTTGTTCACGGCAATGGTAGCAACAGTGGAAAGCTTCCCTTTTTTATTCTGAACATGGCATTTTATCTTCCTGCTCCACAAGGTGACCCCTCCTCTAGGCCTGTCCTTCCCACTGCCTGCTTCCTGCATCCCTTGGCCCTGACATCTGGGACCTGCGTTATCCCACTGAAGGCCTGTCCTTGCTTAGTCCCTGCAGGCACAGAACTGATCACCCAAAAAAGGTTAAGGTACCAATGATCAGTAATGTCTTGCTTCTGTGCAACCAGCAGCTTTTGCCACATTACTGCTTGTTTATGACAGCAGCTACTGCTAGCTAGCAGTGTCTTTTGTCTTTCTGCAAGGCACCAAGCTTCTGGCTCCTGACCATTTGACTATACACATAAAGGTGACAGTATAGGTCATCATATCTTGAAGGAAAGCTTTAATTCTCATTGAAAAGCTTCTCACTGTACCTGGAGAAAGTTTAGGCAAAGCAGAGCCAACTTAGAATATACTAATTTCGAGTGATGATAGCTCACTTTTGGTGCAATTAACTGTTTGAAGAAAGTCTGCTCCTTATAGTATGTTGTCCTGGTTGCAGCTGGGACAGAGTAAGTGCTCTTTCTGGTAGCTGGAGCAATGCAGTGTTTTGGATTTCGGATAAAAATAACGCTGATAACAAACTGATGTTTTTAGTTGTTGCCAGGCAGCCAAGGACTTTTCAGCTTCTCATGCTGGCCTGGCCTGCCAGGTGCACAGGAAGCCAGGAGGGGACACAGCAGGCATAGCTGACCCAAACTGGCAAAGGGGATATTCCATGCCATGATGGCATGCTCAGTGTATCAGCTGCGGGAGTTGGTGGGGGGCTGTGATCGCTGCTCAGGGACAGGTTGGTATCATTCATTGGGTGGTGAGCAATTGACTGTGCATCACTTGTTTTGTATATTATTAATACTGCTATTATGATAATCTATTTGCTTTCCTCAAACTGTCTTTATCTCAACCCATTTTCCACATTCTCTTCCCCATCCCACTGCTGGTGTGAGCAAGCAGCTGTGTGGTGCTTAGCTGCCAGCTGGGGTTAAACCATGACAGATATGAAACACCCTGCAACAAGCTTAAACCTTAACTGAGCAACACTGCCTTCCTCATCAGAAAGGCACAAAGTTTTAAAGGGCATACTTCAGACAGGTGACACCTAATCAAGAGCCAGGATTTTTTTTTTTAATAGCCATGACAAGCCATTCATATATTACTGTCTACTCCTCAGTTTGTAGATCGTGCCTTGTCCTCACAGATGTGGTGACATACAGGAGCGTTAGTAGAGTGTGTAAAGAAGTTGGTTCGTCCTGTCTGTAACAAGTCACTAAAACTCCTTGAATTAGTGATGAGAATTTTAGAGAAGGAAAAGTCTGAGCTATGATGAATCTCCTAAGCTTTCAGCATTTATGAAGAACTTGCTAGTGCTACTGAATGCACACGGAGATTTAAAACCAACATTGTCTACATGGGGGTTCAGATGCACCGCAGGCTGATACTCTTGGTGAAAAATTTGAGAATTTTAAGGAACAGGCTATTGCACGACAGTGAGATCTAGAAGACTTCTTTTAGATGGACACTCAAGCATCTAAAATACTTGGAACATCATTTTAAAAGTGCACATTATCTGAAATACAAAGTGTACTTTAAAAATGTAAGAGAAGCCTGGAAAGTAAGTGTTCTTAGCAGATGATCATACAGAAGCTCTTCTCTGCAGACAGAGAAGACTGAATGGTAGTTTTGGGAACCTCTACTTTCCTTGGTGTTCCTGCTCCACAACAGGCCCCTTATACACTGTGAGAGGAGATCTCTATCTCCATTTGTTCTTCCACGCCAACACGGCAGCACTAGGTAACACTACAGCATCAGGCAGCTGGCAGACACAGGTAAAAAGCATTTGGTTTGGGGCAGCATGTGCTGCTCACACCATTTCTCATGTCCTTGTAGGGAAAGGGCAGTGAGAATATCTTGCACACTGGACTTATGCTCCCAGCAAGAACATGCTATCCTGTGTAAGTGATTTTTTGAAGTGGCATTGCTAGTCAAGATACATCTCATTCTCTCGGTGAAGAGTCTGTTACACTTACCTGACACACAAAGTCAGTGACTATTCTGTGAAAACTCGAGTTCTTGAATCCAAATCCTTTCTCTCCTGTGCACAAGGCCCTGAAATTTTCAGCAGTTCGAGGGACGATATTTGAAAAAAGCTCCATGGTTATGTGTCCTAAAGGTTCATCGTCAGCAGAAACTTCAAAATACACAACAGGGTTGGTGTCCTTTGACAGTCCTGCTGCCAGAGATAAGTGTCCCTTCTGTAGTTCTGACAAGCTTCGCTGGCACTCTTCAAACCTCCTCTTGAAAGAATTAGCCATTTCCTGGCTTTTAAATCTGACTGCAAGTTGTTCTACTTTTACTTCACCATCTGAAAATAAATCAGCGAACAGGTTTCTTTAGCTGTATTTGGATAGTCAGAAACGAATAGCTTTTGTCTTATATAATCTCCAAGGAAAAAAACAAGCCATAGAAACTACAGACCACCTAGAAAAAGCAAAAACCACCCCCCAAAAAAACCCAAAACATAATGTGGCAACGTTCGCTTGTAGCCCAGAAGGCCAGCTGTACCCTGGGCTGCATCAAAAGCAGCGTGGCCAGCAGGGCAAGGGAGAGGATTCTGCCCCTCTGCTCTGCTCTGGTCAGATCCTACCTGGAGTCCTGCATCCAGCTCTGGAGCCTCAGCACAGGAGAGACATGGACCTGTTGAAGCCGGTCCAGAGGAGGGCCACAAAAATGATCAGAGGGCTGGAGCACCTCTCCTGTGAGGAAAGGCTGAGAGAGTTGGAGCTGTTCAGCCTGGAGAAGAGAAGGCTGTGGCCTTTCAATACCTGAAGAGGGCTACAGGAAAGAGGGACTTTTTACAAGGGCATGGAGTGACAGGACAGGGGTAATGGCTTCAAGCTGAAAAAGCAGAGATTTAGATTAGATATAAGAAAGCAATTCTTTACTATGAGGGTGGTGAGGCACTGGCACAGGCTGCCTAGAGAAGCTGTGGAGGCCCCATCCCTAGAAACATTCAACGTCAGGTTGGATGGGGCTCTGAGCAACCTGGTCTTGTAGAAGGGGTCCCTGCCCATGGCAGAGGTGTTGGAACTAGATGATCTTTAAAAGGTCCCTTTCAACCCAAACCACTCTACAACTCTATGAAAAACTCACCAGCATAATCTGTGGCTGTCCAAATTAAAGCATTGTTTGACGTATCAGAGGGCACTAAGTTCATTTCTTTGGTGATGACATGGTTTGCACAGACTTTAAGAACTTGGTCCCTTCTCATTAGGACTCTATAGTATTTCTTCTGTGTGTGGAAGAGGATCTTTATCTCTCCAACGCCACGCTCCTTCCACTGAGTAGCATCTCTGTCCCATCTGTAAAGTTTTGCCCTCTCTTTGAAGAGAATTTCTTCATCTTCCTCTCCAGATTTTACCT